AAATTTTTTTTTTTCACCCAAATCGTCACTTAGCATGGTTTTGCACTCACCCCTTCAATTAGCAAGAGTCCAGAGATTGATTATAAGCTTCTAGAAGGGAAACACATGGTAGTGTTTGTGATACATAGTCATAGCTCATTTCGCGGCACTCACTATTAGTTGAGATATTTTTTTTCACGCCAATGAATTGAATCGTTTTGTGATTAGTTCTTCTCAATCTTTCCATGTCAATCATTTCAAGGGGGCAGCAGAACACAAACTGGTGTGACTACAGGTGGAATTTTATTGCCTTGCGCTTGTTTTTGCATTTCGCGCATGCTTGGGTGTTGCGCATTCCTGCTAATCCACCTGTTGTGCAGGCTATCATGTAATTTATGGTTTATTATTCAAATAAACTCTTCCTTTCTTTTTCCCACAGTACATTTATTATCTAACAGAAATAGAGTTACAACGTGTTCTCCATGTTTATGAAATTATACGAACTATAAAAACTTTGGAAGAGCTCCAAAAAACTGTGAAAACACTCTCCTGTGGGTTAATTTATTGTTCCCATAGCATTTTTAATTTTTTTAGACTTGCACTCATGTTGGATCTATTTACTACACCTTTTAATAACATGTGGTCTCTAAAAATAATTCAAAGCTCAACAGACAAAAAGTGTCTGAGAAGAGGATTTAGCTTCTAAATTGAGATTTACACGTATACTAAAACAATTAAATTTCTTGCTCTCAATTTCAATACATGATAGTAGACTCATGCTGTGCCCTCACCAACTATCAGCCAATAGAAATTGAGAGCGAATAATCTAAATTCAAAGCTTAACCAACAGTTGCATTTTTCGCTACCATCAATCAAATGTTCGGCGGCGGCTCCCAGCTTCCAACTACTGCTGAGCACTGTTTGGTTGTCTGAACTATGCTCAACAATTTGATTACCACGCACTCGACAGTAGTTGGCTGATAGTTGGTGAGGGCACAGCATGAGTCTACTACATGTATCATGTATTGAAATTGAGAGCAAGAAATTTAATTGTTTTAGTATACATGTAAATCTCAATTTAGAAGCTAAATCCTCTTCTCAGACACTATCGAAAAATGCAAAGAAGCTGCTGCCATTTTGTTAACAACCTTACACTGTTAGGCCACTCACTATCTACAGTACAACTGAATAGATAGTGAGTAGCATACCATAACTAATAAGAAAACAGCATTCGTGATAGAAAGCTAGTAGATTCATACTGAAACTCAATAGAAACAAGGAAAATGTTTCTTATTTCTTAATTACCATCTGACTGCTTACTATCTTGCTACTCAGGAAATATCTGTGACTTCTACACTAGCAGTGCCCAGCAACTGCAGGTTCTCAATCTTCATGTGAAAGGAAATTCAAAATTGAAACCAGATGGCTTCTGTGATGAAGTGCAAATTTCCAGTTGGAAATTTTATTTCAATACATCATGGACGTTCTCTAAATCTGACATCTTTTATGCCAAGTCCTACAACGAAGGGATAACATTCTTATTTGTAAGTAGATGTGCTAAATAATAACACAGTTTGATTTAAGCATTGATAGTGATGATGATGATGATGATAATGATGATGTGTCTGTAAATACACCAAATTAGTACAAAGTACTAATATTATTATATGTTTTTGATTTACTGATAATTTACTGATAATTGTTTTTATTGTTCAGTTCCAGAAAATATCCATACTCTCCCCACAGAAGGGATTGGAATTTCCTGGGGGGTGGGGAGTTCTGTAAGACCAAAAAATTTAAAGAAATGTATGAAGCTCAAACAGAATTTCCAGAGGGGTGGGGGGACTTAAAAAAAATTCCCTTCCATGGGGAAGGTATTGATATTTTTTGGAACTACACATTAAGAGAAAAAATTGAAAATAGCCCAAAGCAAATGCTTGTGCAGATTGGTTTAAAAAAATAATTGGGTTTCTCTTACTTAATAGAAACATGTAGAACTACTAGCATGAACTATTGAGGTAATGATGGTGCAAACAAAGAGAATTTATATTTTGATGATCAAAGTAAACTTTTTTTTTGTCTCGGAATTTTCTAAATGAAATAGAAAACATGTTCCGTGTGTTTCTATTGAGTTGTATAAACACTCTTGGAAGTTGGGTAATCTATACGTGTGCCTAGTTATGTTTGGGATAAATATGTTTAGAGCATCTTCCTCTTAATTTTGTTCCAGTGGGAGGATCAGATGGATTCATTTTATGAAGGACTCCTTATAAAAGTTATCATTCGCTGCACTTATCATGGAAAAACAGATGATCGTTGCCTCATGCTGAAGGCTCAAGGAACACATCGATGTAAGTTTCATGTTTAAAATTAAATTTATTGTTGTTGTTGTTGTTGTTGTTTTGAATTTTGTTTTTGTTACAACATACCTGCACACCAAGAATATCTTATAGTGTAGGCCACAAAAAAGTTGTTGTTTGCAGCGTGTATACATACCGTACAGGTACTTAGAAGATTTTCACATTTTCTAGCTAGATGTCCTCTGATTTCCTAATAGGAATTACATACAAATTCATTCCAACAGGCCTGGGAATGTGACAATGTCTGGTTTCATAATTTGTATATTATACATAAGAGCTGAACCTTTCCTTACCAAAACCACCTATAATATTAACTAAAGACACCTGTAAATTTCAGACAGCTCACTTGCTCTCAGACATGGCAGGAAAAAAAAAATTTGAAATCCAGTTGCCTAGTGGGCCAGTATATTTCGGTTTCCAGTTGCCCCCACTAAAATATTCCTTGCCCAATAGATGTGTTTAATTGACTTGTCAACTAACAAGACTACAGGGGCTAATTTCACTTGCCCACTGGACCACCAAACTTCCATTTTCACTTGCCCAAGAGCAAAATTTACTTGCCCTGGGCAATCAAACCCGGGTTTTTTTCCTGCCCTGCAGAGAAACCAGAACTGTTATAATAAATTTTCTCTACACAGTGTACATGACTGTACCTTCATAATACAGAGACCTCCGTAATACTGACACTCAGTTCTGGCCCTTTGCTGTCCGTATTAAAGAGGTTCCACTGTACTACCATATTTCAGAACAATTAAATAAATGAATACAACTTACTGTTACCAGCTCTTTCTGTTTTGTGTTTATTACTTAACAGTAGTATTGAAAAACACAATTTATTGTAATGTGTAATTTACTGCAAGCTGTAGCTTATAGTTTTTCTTCTTATTAATTTATTGTTGATTCAATTTTTTACCAGATTCAGATTCAGATTTTGTGATTCAAAACGATATGCCAAGCAAGCCTCCCTCTTCAGTTTCAGTTCCAACAGAGAAAAACAAGAACGTTCAGGTAAGATTTGACATACAATGTGCATGACTGTAGATATCATTTTACTGTATACATTTTTGTTTTCATGCTAGAAACATTACTACACCTACACATACAGTTGTACCTGTATAAGCTCATATGGGTAAATATTCAGATTAGTACTTGTAAATTATTAATGTATACCATAGAATTTTAAGTCCCCATTACTTTCAGATTTAGCTGGCAAAAGGGGTTTTGGATAGCTATTACTTTCTGATGTTGAAAGAAACGTTTGTACAGTAATTCACAGTCATTTCAGACAAACTTGATGTGTTACATGGAACTTAAACAGTTCCATTTATGTATGTTACTGACTACATGTACCCATATAAACAAAGCAAACCGTAAAAACAGAAAAGGCGCCAAATGTTGGTACTGTAGGGTGAAAGTATAATGGTCACATTACAGTATATTGCAATGCAACTAGTTACACTGTACCATTTGACACTACCAGACAAATACAGCTTATAACACATAGTTTCAAGAAACATTCAGTTAAGTTTGAAATAAAATTGCAAATAACTCTTCAAGTTATTCAGTCCTGCACACAGTCAGACTGTTCCATCTGCATTGAGATCAGAGTTTCTATTTAGAGACTTCTTCAAAGGGCCACCAATTTCAGGTGGGCCATTACTTTTGGGGTTTAATTAACGTAGGTAAAAAATTAACGTCACTTTTGGGAAGCATATCTTTTCAGGGAGTTGTTACTTTCAGATTTGTATGGTATGTTGTATAAAGTACATGTACAGTACATGTATCAGCCTTCTTAACTGTTAATGGGAAATTATATGGATTCCAATTGATGACGTCCAGGGAATGTGACTGTCTGTGGTTTTCATTTCCTGTCTTGAGTTAATACCCAAACATACATTACATGTAGTTCATTTACAGAAAAACCCTGGCATCTTGTTTTCATGTGATTCAAGTTGTACTGAAATACATTATTAGCAACTTAAATGTTTGTCTAATGATCACTCTCTTACATATACATGTACAGCGTATCTGAAAACCCTGTTTGGCTGATCATTTAAGTATAACCAACTGTTGTCCTTGACTTGCATGTACTTTGTTTAACAATTTGCATCTACTAGAGGCAATAGTATGAATGCAAATACACTCTAGTTAAGGGTTTTACACTAATACGAGTAATACATGTGTACATGTATTACTCGTATTAGAAAAATTGAAAGAATTTAAAAGAATTTTCAAATTTATATCATGAGTACTGTAATGGTAAATCCTTGCTTGCTTGATCTTTCATACAGTTGCTCATTTATTGTATGACTGCAAAACTTGCGAATACCCACGTGTTAATTTGATCTGCACTGCAAATTAAAAATTGGCCTGCTCTCTGCCAATCGCAGTGAAGCAATTTTCTCCATCACATAATAAACCCAATAATATGGCCACTCAAAAATTATGGGGAGGTTACCGAATTGTCAGAACCAAATTAAAATTAATCAAACGAAAGTGTGTTCAGATACATTTAAATGCATCTGTTTATTGCATTACATTGGACAAAGGTCTGTTAGGTGTCAGAATTATTTAATTCTACAATTTACTTAAATGTACATCCTTTTATGCTCTCCAGAAATCATCAGTTGCACTGGTAGAATCCATAAAATTTAATGCCGATCCTGTGCCAACTGGCGATTACTCCCAAGCTAATGACAAACAGATCTGGATTGCAGTGTCTTTGGGTCTGGCTGGTGTTATTCTTATTGTCATCATTGTAATCACTGTATTCCTTGTGCTGAAATGCCGCAGGAATTGCAAACAGAAAAGGAGAGGTACTAATAGCTGCAACAATTATAAGTCAGTTAATAAAATCGTTTTGATTTTACCAACAATCTAGACAATGAGTGGCACCTCTATTTTCTTACTGTAGCTTGTTGAGTGTGACTTGAAACAAAGTGCAAGAGGAAAAACAGCTGTACTAGGGGAAAGCTGCTTGTGCTCTACTACCATCAGGCCTTCCTAAATGAAAATAAATGCTTCACAAACAATAAACTATTCCTACACTGTACTCTCTAATCTTTGTTTTGGGTCCATTGTGCCTTCTGTGAGACACTTGTTACATTTTTATCCAAGCTGTCTTGTAATTTTATTGACCAATTCCACATGTTCTCAAACCTGGGTAGATAGGTGACTTAGGTCACTGGGGCAAACTGAAAGTGCAGACTCCTTATTATGAGGAAAAAGGGGTTTGAAAAAATTTAAATTATGTGAGGAGGTCTCCTTCCCAGTTTCTAAATCTTGCATCCAAATAGACTTCAAAGTTTTAGAGTGGGAACCTCTACTACTGGCCACCTGTCTACAACATCCACCTCTACATGTATGTATGACAGAGTATTATATGGAAGCCTGCACCTCGGAAATTATTTTAATTTATGATAATTAGATTTAATAATATGCACCAGGCAGGATCTTTTGTCCCAGTCCTGGGCTGATCACAATTTAAAGGTCACCTCTCTTCATTAGCCAGTTTGTTCTGCTCCAGAGCAACTGTTGTAAAGAGGCACAACGTTATCTCAGTGAGGGTATTGAACAGTCTTGTAATGTTACAGGCTCGACTCATCACCATCCTACTGAACAGCCAGCCACGCCGGCAGTGTGTTCTTCCCTGCATGACTATGAGTATGTTCACTATCCATGCCTTGTTGATGGTGTTAGGACACGACCTGTCACACCAAAGGGTGAGCTATACAAAAAATAATATGTTAAAAGAGTATAAGTCGGCTACTACGCATCTCCCAGACATATATTTTATTGAGGCCGTCATTACGTAAGTGAATGTACGAAACATCATATATTTTAACTGGAGGATTAAGATCTTAAGACTCGAGAGATCTTTTGCTGAAATACATGCATACTTTGTCGTATAGCTCCCGTGTGGGGGCTCTTTGTCCATGTATGCCATGTATGCTATTGAAAATGCACTGCTTGAAACCTAATTTTTTTTTTTCAGGCTCTATTTTTGTGGCTACTGTCAATTTTTAATACAAAGATCTCTCACGTTTTTGAAGCTCACACACATGTAATTTGACACTGCTTGCATCATGCAGAAATAGGCTATAACTGCTATCATTGAATACTGGTATTATTGCCTTAAACTACAATTGTTATAGGTTCTTTAACATTCTCTGACATTGTTTGTGTCAGTCACTAGCAAAATGTTGGTTTGATTAAAATGAATCAATTAATTTTGTATTGTAGACTTGTCACAATCCTTCAGGGGTTTCATTATGGGCCAAGCACGGGGCAAATTGACCTTTTGCCCGCCTGGTTTGACCCATCTTGAGGGACGTTTTTCTTATAAAGAAGTTCAGTCCTCCTGTGAAAACCAGTTGCTTCCTGAAAATGTTAATGAAACCCTACTTGTCCATTGTAGCAAAGTTGTAATGTATCTTGTAAATCAGCTCTTGGATGAGCCCGTTAAATGACACAAAAATATCTTTTCCCTTTTTCAGGTAATCCTATGTATGAAAGAGGAAAAGATAATAAACTTATCATCTGGACACCAGGTCACAGTGGAACCCTTACCAGACCCAACGACCAATCAGCAGACCCCACCGCACCACGTCTTCCTTACCAGCGGCTCCTGACACGAACGTCTTCCTCCTCGCCTGAGTGTAGTGGAGCAATAACGCCTGTCAGTCCCCTTGGAGTGCAGGAAGGCTTCCCCTATCAGAAACTGGTCAGGACGCTGCCATCCCTGAGGAGGGATCAACAGGGCTGTGTTCGTCCAGAAGAGTCGGCAGCAGTCAGTATGAGTTCTCCGGACGTGGAAGAAAGTTTACCTTATCAGAGGCTGTTTAGGTCAATGCCTTCCCTTCGGAGGGAGGAACAAGGGCGTGGTGATACAGAGGAATCGGCAGCAGGCTTGAATGGAGAGGAAGGCCCTACTAAGGCATATCAGTCTTTGTCCCTGCAAAGAAATCCACTGGTAAGACCGATATTGAACTGTCCATTATTATGAAATGATAAGTAACACAAAAGAGTTCAAGCACACACATTTGTACTCATTTACCTAAATCTATTGCTGACCAACAACATTTTTGACATCTTTTTCAGCTTTTTCTGATCAATTTTGTTCAATATAACCAAGAAAAAGTTGTTGGTTAGGGTCTGGTCTGAAATAAGGTGTTATTATTTGGAGGTAGGGGAAGGGTTTCAAGAGGCGTGTCCCACGACCCTACCCATATTTTTGGGGAACGCCTTCCCAGGGAAAATGTCAAGCTTGCAAAACGATATTATTTCAATACTTCTTCCTCTCGAGTTTTTTAAGAAAGGTTTTCAAGAGGCATGCCCCACAACCCTACCCATGTTTTACGAGAATACCTTCCCAGGGAAAATGTCAAGCTTGCAAAACGATAACATTCCGATTTTTCGTCCATAGTACTCTTTAAAAGAATGTGATGGATATGCGAAAGTTGACGCACCATCGCGCCCTGAGAGCATGGAATATGATTATGCCCGTGTTTCCGTGGAGCTCGATCCTGTAGAACTCAATAAACTCTTCCGTGGCTTGCAAAATGAGTCACAAGAAATGCCACGAGCTTCTTTGGAAATTTCTATTGGCGATCTCGACAACACAGCTTCAACCCCGAATACTGATCATAAGCGGAGTTCTGGGGGTAGCGAAAAGTCTTCTGTGTCTTCATGTAGTGGTGGTTATGAAAATTGTTTGTGTAAGGACATCACGAAAAGAAACAGCTCGAAGGGTGCGGATGAGGACGTTGAAGGTGTGAAACCAAAGGATATTCGATACGCGACTTCATATGAGGATTTATCAGGGGGTTGTCGCGTAGATCCCGAGGAATATATTGAAATGGGAAAGAGGAGAAGTACACTGATTGCCGAGAGTCATGATTCAACTGATCATGAGGTCGAAGACAGTGGACACGAGTACTTTGTGCTTGAACGTGTGATTGAGTTCAGTGAAGGTAATTTTTGATATGCAATTTTCCAGCTTCTGATTCTGAATTTTAACTTTCTTCTTTTGTCCTTTGTCTTATCTGTTTTTCATTTCTTGTTATTTGACACTCTATTAACTTTACTCGCTCCTCAATTTATGTACAGCATCATTGTAAGCACGATGCTCTTAGCAAGCTTTACTAAGCTTTTCAAAAAGACTCCCGTTCCCCGTTCCTCGTTTTTCTTTTTCTGTTCCAGTCCTTCCTTGTCAGGTCTTCGTTTTCTGTTCCCCGTTTTGCGTTCTTAGTTTTCTGTTTTCTGTGTTCTGTTTCCTATTTTCCGCTTCCTGTTTCTCGCCTTTTTTTGTTTATATTATTAATTTTCTTCCTTTTTTTACAGGTGAAACTGTTGATGAGTCTTGAATAGTGTGAAATGTGGACGAGAAGTCTTGTGTGTCACTGATTTTTTCTGCAGCATGCTTAGGTGTTCTTTGTTTCCATCTGCTGCGCGATGTACAAAAAAAATATTTCCTGTGAAGGAAACAGATTGAAGTTATGTTAAATGATCAACAATTTCAATGTGAAAAGAATGATATGTATGTACATATATTCACTATACACTTATTTTCCTGTAAACAAATTAACGATAGCCATGTTTGTTCCATGTTGTTTTGTATAGTTCAGAATTATTTATTTTAACGTTAACAGTTATTATTATTTTAATTTACTGTAAAATTTAAGATTGTTAGTATTCATTATTCGTAAGGTGTATTTTTTATTAACGATTTTCATATACCACCTGTACAGGGCTTATTTTAAGTGGCTACGACTTACATATGGTTTCCATTTTATAACATTATATTGTGATCAGACACTTGATTATATAACGACTTTGAAGCTGCATTTGTGCTTTATCTGTAACGTCGAAAAACGTTCCACATCCAATGTGTTGCTTTGGGTCTAAATTGTTTCAACACAACATCCATTCAAAATATATGTGCCCAAACATTTTTAGATCACTAAGTTTCTCTCGATAATGTAGACAAATTGTATGGATAGGCTATTTTAATAGTTTCTCATATGGGAATTGGTATTGATATAGAGTCGATGACTTGTGTATCGAGAGGGTTCATGTGCATTTCTCGTAGTAGCCTCTTCCAGGCGTTCAGATAGTTGTGGCGCAGCGCGAAAAATTGCGCCTCGAGAGTTTCGGATAGTGCTTTCGAATGACACCGTTTTTCAATTCGCAAAATCCACTTTAGTTGGCGTGAAAAACGTATTAATTATTACTACATTGTTCACTGCAACCCCATAAAATATATCAACAACATTGAATGTTCAGTTGTAAAGGCCTTTGGTGGTGGTGGTGGTAGGGGGGGGGGAGGGGGTGTACTTTGTAAGTCTTTAGGTAGGGTGTGTCCCGGCGACACTGAAACCCTTACCCTATAGTAGACTATGATCAGCTTGATTTTGCAACCTTATACCAGGCTGAGCGCCAAAAGCTCCCTAACCTATCCCAGACTAGCTATTCCATGCGGAAACCAATATCTTACAATGTCACTTCCGAGTTTCAAAATCTGGGTTAAAAAACCCTATTCCAGACTAAATTATTTATACACTGGCCACTTTCCCGGTAAATTGTACTCTATTCTAGACCAAAACTGACTGATTTCTATACCCCATGCGAAACTCATGATCAACTTTCTGAAAACGGTACGCCTCACAGTGGAACATACCCATAAAGCCGGCTTATTTATGGGAGTCTCCCCCCGGGTGAAGGCCTCTCCGCCAAAGATTCCGTGCCCATTCTACACAATTCTAGAATAACACTTGGAAGAATACTTGGTATTGCACTTTTAGCACCGATATCGAGGTATTCCGATCTGTTGATCGGCCAAAACGGGTGACACGACTTATTTTGTTTTTGGTGGGCGGAAAGCACTTAAAGGAAGAGTGCGTGACTGAGTGTTGTCCCCGAAGCGTTCAAACACTGACCGTATTTTAAGACAAAATACATACTCTTTGTGGGGAGGAAACACCTTGCCATACTGATAAATGTGTGAACAAAAACGATTACTTTTCAAACTTATGGTTGAGGTGAGTTTGCGGGCAATGAAACGCGCAGTTACTATAAAGGTAAAAAAAAATTGGCCGGCATAGCGAGTTTCCAATGGTGTCTTTTTTTTAAGTTATTTTTTGAGGGTTCAGCACAATTACTTGAGCTTTATCGACTTCAAGATGATCATAAGAAAAAATTAAGGAGTGTTCCTTTTCCCAGGCCAATATTAAGGGAGCACGTCTTGTTATCATGTCTGTCTGTACAATGTCTGATTTTGTCCTGATCATCACGGAAATAATGATAATGCTTTCAAAGGGTTAATTTTGTATCACAGATGAACATCGTGACTTCAAATTAGAAACATTCGTTCTGGGAATTTTTATCTTTTTGTTCTACAGCCTCATGACAGCAATATTTGTTTCAAACTATTTGTAACTTGCTGTCAATAACTTGAAGAGCAATCAAACAAATCATACATCGTAATGAATTCCTAGTGAACAGCTGCTTGTTCAATAACGATTTCGCAGATTAATATACTTTGTCGCAATAGACTGAATTTGGCTCAATTATTGGCTCACAATACCAATTTTATTCCCCCCCCCCCCCCCCCCCCCCCCCCCCCCCCNATATTGTGCAGTTATGGAAATTCTTATTTTTACATTTGCGTAGTTTGGACATTTGGAACCAACAATTACAAGTATTTCTCTATCGTCCAAACGTTAAACTCCCATCTGAAACTTGGCAACTAATTTTTTATTGTATTGGCTTGCTTCTGTTAATGCGAGGAGGTACCGAGAATCTGTTTAAGGGTCGTTTATTTCTTGGACTACTATCTTGCACGATTAGCTTCGTCCATCTTCTACTACTTCTACTTCTACTTCTACTACTTGGCAAACAAATGCACACGTACTTAAATACCACATCGGTAGCTATGTTTGCGCCAAACGCGCAAACTGACCTTGGAAGATTAAACAGCCTTTTAGAATACTCACACGACTGTCAGAGGCTAATAACTACAAAATTATTGAAACAAACAATAGAAACTATAGTTAAGAGAACAAGAAGCCCAAACAGGATCTTTCGTGGGAGATCCAGACCATGGCAAGAAGACGAACCCAAACACGAGTCTCGATGGGGTATTGTTCGGAGCTTAAGTACTCTCGATAAACTAAGAAAAACAACTTGAAGTCACAAGACTCTCTGTGTGGGCAGTCGGGCCCCAGAATCACAAGACTAACATTACAAAATGTGATCACGAACCAAAATTTTCAATCCTATAATAATTATTGAGCTTCGTAATAATTGCTCTCTCGTCGAGGAAAAAACAAGAGAGAAGCTTAAAGCTATAAAAAGTTATCAAAGTTATAGGGAATGCCTGAAAGCTCAAGACAATAGTAGCGTAAACGGGTAGGTTTTCGACGTTTGGGGTTGGTATAGAGTGAGAGATTTTGGAATATATATATAAAAAAATTGTATTGAATGGTCTGCGTGCGCTTCACGAAAACTTAAAAGCCATTTTAATATCATATCGCAATAACACTTAGCGTTACAATTTACATACTACTGGTTCAAAAGTACGATACAATTAACTTTCTTTTTTCATCGACGAGGTCGATAAAAGCTAACAAAAAATAGCACTGTTAGGTTTATATATCGTTTTATTTTTTATATATGTGTTGAATTATAACGTAATTTCAGAAAACAGCTGAATAAAACTGAATTTTGGGAGTGATAATTATAAAGTCCAAGTTAAAGATCAGGAAAAAAAAATTACGACTTCCTTTTCTTTTTCGATTTTGTGAACCATGCAACTACATTTCCAGAGAGCTTACTATAAAATGTACAGATAGTGGTGTAAGGGTGTCTTCGAGCTTGTTATTTCTTACCTGATAACTATGAAGTCTAAATTAAATGTAACAAAAAATAGCATTACGTGTCAGTTTGATCGTGGTACATGAAGTAATGGGCGTTTTTCATGCAACCAAAAATTCTAAACATTGTGAAATGGGGACAGATGAAGAAATCCGTGGAAATTGTTGACTGAATTTCCGAAAAGCGAACCATTCGACCAAAAATTCTGGAAATGCCGGGAGGAAAGCCCAATGCTGGAAATTTTAGGTAAGAAATTTCCGAAAATTTCCGTATACCTAGGCCTCGCAAGGTTTTCCTATTTTCCGCAAATGCCGGAAAAGTGCTGTTCCATTCTTCCGGAAAATGAAAACCGGAATTTTTGGTCGAGTGGAAAACGACCAATATTTCCATAAAGCAACGATAAAATAACAAGATATTGGTTTAAGGGTTTTTTCGCATTAGTTATTACGTGAGATTAAATAATTATTACAGGGGCTACGTCACTGGTTTGCGCATCTTGAAAACATATAGCCTAAATTTTTCAAGTTTCTCGTTTGTAATCCGTGTTAATCTACTCCATGCATCCTTAACCATCCTTGTTCCTTGACGGCTTATTATTTTCTCTTTGGTGTGTTTTTTATCTTAGTAAACTACTATTTTTGCCTCGATGTAAACGTAATTTTGTATGTAGCCAAAATAACTCAAAATACCGCGACTGAGCTCCTTGAAGTCTAAATTTAGTATAACAAAAAAATAACAGGAAGTATTAGCTTCGTTGTTGAAAAGCTTGAAGTAATATTTCCAGCAAGCAACCGTATGAAATAACAAGATGTTACTTTGAAAGGTTGTTTCACTTTTCACTGTTTATTAAAAAAACAAGTATTAAGGTATCATGGTAGGTGGATTTTTACTAAAAATGCGAAAAATCTTTTTTTGGCTGTTCAAATTGAGAAGACTGAGATAAATATTTTGCAAAAAGAATGGGGGAAAGGGCTTTTTTCTTTTTAAGGTAAAGCAAAAAAACTATTTTTGAATATTATTAACCTCTTACAGCGCGTTGACACCTCTAATTAAAATTCACCGCCAGTTGTGACAAGTAACGCGAATTGCGGTGTGATATTTCAGTTGTGCACGCGAACTGTTCTTGATCTGGTTGTTTCAGCGCAAGTTGGCTTTCGTTCTTCTCAAATTTTCTTTATGTCAGGACGAAAAATTCTTGCCCGTTTTCGTCTTCGAAGAGGCCGAAGAGGCGAAAATCTGGTGAAACCCACAGGTTCAGCGTCGAACAAGATCTTTGGCTCTGAGCGACCGTGGGTCGCACTGTAACCAAGAAGAATGGTTGAAGGAACTCGAGGACACTAGT